GCCAATCTTGGATGGCTTTTATTTTCTCGGGGTCAACATACACTACATCTTTTCCAACTATGAATCCTAAGAAATTGACTTGATTTTGACAAAAGGTACATTTCTCAAAGTTGGCATAGAGGTAGTTTTCCCTAAGAATTATTAAGACTTCTCTTAGATGTCCAAGATGTTCATCTAAGGTCTTACTATATACAAGTATGTCATCAAAGTAAAATACTAAAAACTTTCCTATGCAATCCCTAAGAACATGATTCATTAGACGCATGAAAGTGTTAGGGGCATTAGTGAGGCCAAAGGACATTATTAGCCATTCATACAAACCAAATTTGGTCTTAAAAGCAGTTTTCCACTCATCACCTTCTTTAATTCAAATTTAGGTGCCTATACTTTATTGTAATGTTATTGATGGCCCTACAATCGGTGCACATCCTCCATTTGTCATCTTTCTTGGACACCAAAAGAACGGGGACGACACAAGAGCTAAGGCTCTTTTGAACCCAACCCTTCTTCAACAAGTCATCAACTTGAGCTTCTATCTCTTTGGTTTCTTGAGGATTAGTCCTATAGGCGGGCCTATTAGGAAGAATAGAACCCGGTATGAGGTCTATTTGATGTTCTAATCCTCTTAAAGGTGGAAGTCCACTTGGAACTTCTTGAGGAAATAGGTCATCAAACTCTTTTAAAAGTTTTTGAACCTCATGAGGTAGAGACTCAAGCTCATGACTAGTGGCAACTAGTGTCTCTTTGAAATAGAGAAGGTACAAAGGTTGTTCAATCAAAAGTTTTTTCTTAACGTCATTTTTAAGGGATAAATGACTTTTGTGAACAACTTCTTTAGAGGGGACACTTGCCTCTAAACTTGGTACCTTCTCTTCCCCTTCTGTATTCTTTAGGGGAAGGTATTTTTTTCCTTTCCTTTGTTTTCTCCTTTTTTTTTCTTCATCCTCTCTTTTGACTTTCATTTTGAGTTGGACCTCACACACTTGAAAAGGTGATAAAGGACACAACACAATCTTCTTGCCTAAGTGATGGATACTTATTTTGTTGGTAAGACCATCATGAATAGTTTTTTTGTCAAATTGCCAAGGCCTTCCAAGTAGAATATGACTAGCATCCAATGGCACTATATCACATAAAACTTCATCTTGGTATTTTCCAATGGAGATAGTTATATTCACTTGTTGATTAACTACAATACCTCCTTCCTCATTGATCCATTGTAATTTGTAAGGTTTTGGATGAGGTATAGTAGTTAAGGCTAACTTATCCACTAATCTAGTGCTACAACAATTGCAACTAGATCCACTATCCACAATGAGAGAACAAGTGTTTTCCAAAACCTTGCACCTTGTATGAAACAAGTTTTCTCTTTGGGATTGATCTAGATCACTAGATTGGTTTCCAAGAAGCCTTCTAACCATTAACACGTCTCCTTCACAAGGGTAAGTTTCTTCCTCGGACTCTAAGAGTTCTTCCTCATCTCTTGAAGAAGAAGAAGTAGCTTCATCAAGGCTACTATAGTGGTCTTGGCCCCTTAAAATCATGGTTTTCTTCGTTGGCCATTGAGAGGCAATGTGCCCTCGACCAAGACACTTAAAGCACTTGATGTCACTTGTCTTAGTTTCTTTGGAAGATTTCCTATTAGAGGTTTTATCTTTTTCTTTTTCATTAGGAAAAGGTTTGGAAGAGGGGCCCTCCTTCTTGAAACTCTTGGAATAAGAGAGATTCGAGTCTTTTCTAAACGTTTTTCTCTTAAGTTGATGTTCCACTCTAGAACAAAGTTGAACAAGCTCATTTAAATCTCTATATGGTAAGAGTTCAACTTTGTCTCTTATTTCAAGGTTAAGACCACTTTGAAACCTTGAGATGGTGGTCCTCTCTTTTTCCCTTATCCTAGCCCTCATCATTAGTAACTCTATAGATTGCCTATATTCTTCCACACTAGATGACCCTTGTTTCAATCTTTGTAGCTTGTCCATAAGCTCACTGTCATAGTATAGAGGAATATGCCTCCTTCTCAAGGCACTACGGAGCTCATTCCAATATTGAATTGGGGTCTCATGGTTTATTCTTCTTTCTTTTTATAAGGAGGTCCACAAATACATGGCATGCCCTTGGAAGCTAAGGATTGCCAAAGAAACCTTCCTTTCTTCACTCACTCCGTGGAAAGAGAACAATTGTTCCACTTTCATTTCCCAATCTAAATAATTTTCAACATTGTCTTTACCATGAAATGGGGGAAGAGTGATGTTGGGTTCCCTATTGGAAGACTCCCTATGTCTTGGTTGCCTTGGGGGTCTTTGATAGTAATCATCATTGTTATGACTACTATAAAAGTTATCACTTGGAGGTTGGGTATGATGCCCTTCCTCCTCATAAAAACTTGAGGGTATTCTAACCCCCTTGCCCTTTGAGGACTTAGGAGAAGGGACTCTTGGTCTAGATCCACTAGGTTCCCCCCCACATCTAGCCTAGAAAGAAACCTTCTTATTTCTTCATTGTTTTTCTCATTTTCTTTTTCCCTTTTTCTTAACTCTTCCTGTCTCTTTATGTTTTCT